TTTTCCCTGTGCCATTCCACATTATTACACATAACTTCATTTCTGGACATTTATGGTTTGATTTCTTTGTATGTATGGATCACTTGCGTTGTTACAGACATCTGGTGAAAATTTCATGTCATTAGCACCTCTAGTAATATATTTACTGAGAAAAATGACGACGTGTTCAATACTTATTTTACCCGCTTTATATTGTAAAGAGAAGGCACTTAGGTGTCTGTTAGCAAAATATCTCACAAACCACAGAATGGATTTTAATGAAACTGTCAGGATATAAATTAATCATTAATTGAACAACAACTTTGGACTCAACTGGTTCAAGGTGGCCGCCACAGCCAGCTCATCTAGGAAAAACCAACAAAATGAGAGAGTTTTACAGATATTCAGTTTAAAGTTGATTTGTTTGTTCACAACACATAACTCCAAGTGTTTTTCAATATGTGAGATATGTGGTTTAAACTTTACAATCGGCTCTGTTTCTGTTAGCAAAATATCTCACTGCACATATTTAAATAAAATTTTCATGAAGTTGTCACCTAATAACCAACTATAACTGATTAACTTTAGGAGCCAATCCAATTCAAGATGGCCGCCACAGCCAAGTCAACTTAGAAATCACAGAAATGGCTACAAGTCAGCCAACTCTACYGATGCTAAGTTAAAACTTAATGTGGTAGCAGCTGAAAGTAATCCTCGATGGGCGGGTCATCTGTCATGAGGTTGACCAAAAGAGCTTCTTATTTGACTGAAAGGTGGCAGGTGATGAGCATCCCCTCAATGCATGCTTTAGGGTGATCTTCACGTGAACCTTTTTTATGCGTTTTAAAGTGTGTGGTTTAGCAGCAGCAGTGTGGCTTTTTCAGACTGAGGTGTTAAACCCAGCAGCTCAGGTGTGCTGCTGGGTTTAATCCAGTTCCTTTGAGGCGCAGCGTCTTCTTGTCCAAATGAACTTTTTGTGTTTTATTTCAGGGCTCGAGGCATTTTTTTTTACATCAATCGGAGAGTTTCTCCCCTATCAGCTCGGCTTATTACCAGCTCAGCAAACGTCCCGGGCTCATTCCCATCATTTGGAGGCGGCAGAGCGTGTCTCTTCAACTTTAAGTAAGTGTTAAAACCCATTTAAGGACCGGAGCGGTGCCTCGGCCTTTATTTGCCCTGTCCGAGTCGCACCACAGCGCCTAATGAAGAGCGCAAACACAGACGCTCTCCACCCGGGCTGCAACAATGACGGGTGGGTGTTCTGACGCTCCTGCGACCTGACCACCCACTCCAGAACCTGTCCGAAACCCCCAAATCTCAGTCTTGACAGGTTCCCTCGATTCAGAAAAAAAAAGGACTATAGGCAGGTATAATCTCTGAATTTTTCGAATTAAGTCAAAAGTCTGACTTTAAGATTAAAGTCAGACTTTTGACCCCCCCCCAC